GGCTAACCAACGACGTAACTGGAGAGTCAATCGCTGGCGTAATGTTCTCTTCACAGATGAGTCAAGATTCTGTCTGGACTTCAATGATGGTAGGGCTCGTGTGTGGAGAAACCGTAATCTAACGATACGCCAACTGTAATGATTGCTGAACATGATCAGTATGGAGGTGGGAGTTTGATGATCTGGGCAGGAATCCAAGTTGGACTAATTTAACTGATCTTGTGGTCATCAGACGAGGTACCATGACAGGTGTGAGGTACCGAGACGAAATTGTCACACCTGTGATCATTCCGTGGCTCAGCAAGCAGGTCCTAACTTCATCTTCATGGATGACAATGCCCGGCCCACATCGAAAGCAAGAGTTGTCACTGATGTTCTTCAGACCAACAACATCACCCATATGGACTGGCCTGCAAGGTCTCCTGACCTGAATCCTATTGAACATGCTTGGGACATCCTCGAAGGCGTGTGTAATGCGGCCTCCACGTTCGGCCCTCAGACTCTGGATCAGCTTGAACAGGCATTGCGGAGAGAATGGCAGAACATTCCACAACAGACTCTAGACAGACTCATCTGGTCAATGCCTAGACGCCTTGAAGCGTGTATTCAGGTCAATGGTGGCCATACACGCTATTAAACTTTGGATCAGTGCTCAAAACTGACAGTAAAAGTGTTTTCAGACATTTTCATACCCTGATGCAACACATTTTGCACGGCTTTTTCAGTGACACTGTTTTTGATGATTTGCAAGTCAGTTATTGTTCAATGAATTTTGATTTCTTTGTTGGAAAAGTGTGTGGATATGCTTTATCTTTGTTATGTTTGATTCAGTTGTAATGATCATGAGTAAAGGCATATGTACTGACCAAAAATACACTTGTTGCTTAATTTTTTGTGAGGAGTATATATTTAGTGGTTTCCAAGGTCCAATATTACTTTATGAGCACGAGTTATCTTGGCAAGGTGCAGAGTTACATCATGCCTATATTTCGGATAAGGCACATGCATGTGGTGCCCTTTTGGCAAGACCATGACAAGCCACAAGATCATGGCAGGACAAATGCTATCTGATGAAGATGTTTTGAGAGAAATCTCCGACCAGAGCGAAGATGATGACTGGACCCATGTTCCCAGCAATGAAGAAACTTCTCATGGATCTGATTCTGACATTTCTTGACATTTAAGTGTTAAAAAATATTACTTTTTCACTTTTATTATTACGAGTGGGTTATCATGTACTTGCCAAACTGATCATTTCATGAATTTTGATATTCCACTATCCACCCAATTTGGAAAGCCTTTCATGTAATTCTTCTATTATGACTAAACAGATGATATGCACTTAGAAACACATTACTTAAAAGGTTGTATGCTCTGGATAGCACTAAAGCTGAGATACACAACAAATGATGGGTATCACAATTTTGGTACAAAAACAATTCCACATTTGGAGGGATGTCATTATAAACTCACATCCATCTTTGAAAGTGATCGCAGTCTTTTTTAATTTTTTTCTTTCTTTTTTGATTACACAAACTAACTAATTCCAAATAAACAAACTTTGCAGGTAACTTGATCTCACACATCGCGTGTGGCATGTGAACTTTGTGTGCAATGAACATTTTCACTTTTTGCATGCTTTTTGACACCTGATGTTGAAAATTGGAGATCAGTTGATTATTCTCTAGCCTCTGAATGTTGAGGAAAACATGTTTATTTCAACTTAAATTGTGCGTACATCATCAGCATCTCCATGCCGTGGCTATGCTGGAGACTAGACGTGGCCAGACATTTTGGTGTCCATCGAAACACAATCTCATCTCTGTGGCGACATTTTCAACATAATGGGAACATGGGAGGAACGGTGTGACATAACGTCAGCAAGACAACCAAATTCGACTGACCCATCTAAGGAATCCATTCCAGACTGCCAGTTTGACTGCTCGGACCATTCCTGGCGTACGTCCAATCAGTTCCTATACAGAACTGACAGAGGGAGCACAACACTCTGCCCCGACAGCCTGCAATACATCCGGTTTTTTCTCAAACGTCACCGACAAACACGTCTTGCCTGGTGCAGACAGCATCTACGGTACAGGAGACAAGATAGAGATGGTGTTTTGTTCACTCACGAGTCGAGATTTCACCTGGACAGCTCAGAGGGCAAAGCAAGGCTGTACAGACGGCGAGGTGAATGGTGTGCTGACTCGTGTGTTGTTCAACGTCGTCAGTTTGGTGGCAGGAGCGTTATGGTATTGGGGGTTCCCCCCCTCCCCCCACATCTCTTGCTCGGACACAACTTGACATTGTCAAGGGCAAGCTGACAGGTCTGTGATACAGGGATGAGATCATTAGGCCTCATGTGCTACCGTTCATTCTAGGACAGAAATGTAACTTCACGCTTCAGCAAGATAATGCCTGTCCACATGTTGCTCGTGTTGTGACATATTTCCTGAGACAGCAGAACATTCCGGTACTACTCTGGCCAGCCGTTTCTCCAGACCTGTCCCCTATCGAGGAATGAAATGGAGCGATGTTTACGTCAAGCCCAGAATCAGTCATTAACGTTAGCTGAATTGTGACAAGCGTTGGTTCAGACACGGAACATTGCCCAAGCTTTCTTCAATCGCTTAGTGTCGTCTATGCATTGTCGTCCAGCCTGCATCAACGCCAATGGTAGACACACATGATACTGAATTTGTGAACTGACTTTTTTTTACACCACATCTCTCCAAGGGCGTGTCACGATGCCCAGTGTCAAATCATACAGATTTCGATCTTATCCTGTCAACAGTTAAACAGTAATTAAGGAAAAACATCACAAATCATGTTATTATCCTTTTGTATTAAAACGGCATTACATCAAATAATGCACAGATACTTACTTCCATAAGTATATTTATTTTTCTTTAGAATGACAGTCGTCCATTTCCCTATTAGTGTGAATCGTATGTGGGTTAACACAAATACAAATATCGATCTTTAAGCAAGAGTATGACAAACTCGCTTTGGCATTAAATTGATAACCAACACAAAAGGTTTACAGTAGGTATCTTCGAGCACATAAAAACACAATTTCCTGTAAATGAAACATACTGTGTCCTTTTTTGCTCACGACCAGAAGTATAAATGATTAGAAAATAGTTTTATTTTATTTCAAAAGTCACACTAATATTTTTCATGAATGACCAAACTTTCAAAAGTGATTCTCGAAAGTAGGTTTGTGTTTTAACACTATCTTCTCCCGACCCATTCATATATTACATGAACAGACAAGAATGGTGATATCAGTAACATAAGCCATTTCAACTTTTAACATGAGAGGGATTGTCAACATATGTTTTGACTATGTTGTTACAACCTTGTGCTATCATTATGTTAAATACATGTATGATACACAAAATGGCAAAACAAAATCAGTTGATTGCAAAAATGAGGTATGAGTACATGCATTCAACCAGTTCAGTGAACAATGCTAAACTGAAGCATTATTGTTTATCTTTCTGGGGCATTGCTTAAAATGAGATGTACGACATTCTAGCACGACATTGTGTGATACTCAATTCTGATTGGCTGAGAGCTCATCAAAACCGTACTTAAATGGCAGTTTAAGACCGCTAATTAAAGTGACCGATTCACCGCGTATGAATACAACGAACTCGTTGACCCTATTGTTTGTAAACAAACATGTCGGACATTGGCAATTTCTATCTCGGCAGCATCTTTGGTGTTTTTGAAGTAAAAAGCGAATGGTTTGAAGAAGAATTTCTTGACCCTAATCCCAGTGAAGAAACTACGAAGCTTGAAAATCTGCCAGCAGCTCAAAAGCAGCAGAATATTTAAACCGGGTCCAGATCTACGTGTGTTGACGTTGGCAACACAAGTCAGCCCACACGTCCTAACCTGACCGCTTCCGTCCCAGGCGTAATACCCAGTCCTTCCACTTCCACTGTCCATGTATCCCACATAAAACGTGGCAAGTCAGGTGTATGTGCGTATGCTTGTACTAGCCCAGACTGAAGCTGGTTTTATAGTGCTAGCCCACTGAGATACCATGCCGCAGTGAAGCATGAATACCTCACTCAGACACATACTGACTTTGAGCCGACCAGTCCTTGTTGTACCCATTAATGCCGAGCCAGGCAGGGACCAACAAGTACCATATTTTAACATCTTTTGGTAGGACACAGTCAGGGATCGAACCAGCGACCTTCCGCTCTCCGGGCGGACGCTCTAACCACTACACCACGGAGGCGTTCCTGTGTATGACATTTATAATCTTAACTGGTCATCTCCTTGGACGTGTCTTCCATCACATCAACCAGTTCAAGGCAATGCTACTGTTTCTTAACCTGTCCATTGTTCTATATAATGATATATATGTTCATATCTATATTGTCACCACCCGATATTCCAAATGCCTCTGTCGGGACTACATCGAACAAGATTTCCTGCTCGTGGGAAATGCCGCAAGGTTGAGCTGGAACTCTGTTCACCTCATTTAGGTCATTGCTGTTTTGTGTATTTGTTTATCACGTATTGTATAGCAAACTGAAGAAGTTTAAACTCAACATATTCATCCTCCTAATTATGAGCAAGTTCCCCTGTCGACATCTACGTGTTGGCAGAACATTGCATTTCAACAATATGATTCACAACATTTGTTGGAACACAATTATCAAGATTGTCTCAAGACATGCCATATTTTGCTGCCTTGCATGTGAACTGAAAAGATGGCCACTAGGAGATCATCCCATCATAGGAAATAAACCTTTTACTGAGAAGATTGAGCTATCAAACTTTGCGTACACTTTAACTGGTATATACATTTAATATAAAATGCAGCAAAACATCCATGTAGCCAGGAGCTATGAAAAAGATCACTATACAATTCTTTAGGTTTTTTAAATATTAGCATGCACATTCTGTGAGCACTTTCCAGAGGCAACACTGTGATAATTTATGCCAAATTCAGCTTCTAAGTGCAAATAGCTTCTCACCTTATTTGGATTTGTTGGATGTACTGCAATAGCCTCTACAGCTCCTGGATTTACTTTGAAGTCATCAGGAACACTGTAATGGAGAAAATTGTGTAAATTGTAAATAGTGCATTAAAATTATTTCATGGGTTCCTGTAAGTATTGTGTAACTTAGAGTTTCAATCAATAAACAGACAAACTTTAGTTTTTGTACAATTATTTTTTAACACTTTCATTGATATACAGTACTTTCTGAATAACCAGATATTATACATGAGAGACCTATATACTCAACACAAGTCTCCATGCAAAATGGGGAAGGTGAGGCAAGATAAAATGGGATTGAACATCTTCAAGGTCATGTCACTTCTACAGCAATGATCATGCACATGCATAAAGACTAATAAATAATATTAACAAAATCAAATTTTCAAAAATGTCATGATTATTTTCCAATCTGCCTGCCCTACCCTGTATCTGGTGCTGACAATGCATAGCAAACATTATTCATGCTTGCTTTGGCCCTTAACTCTGTATGTTTGACAATATGAGGAATTTTTTGATAATAATGTTCATTTTTCTATCTAGTATTTATTTTTGTGCCAAATATTTCTTCAGTTGTCCCTTATTTAATGATGCACCGTAGTGTTGGGAATTGGTTAAAATATCATAATTGATGATTGCTTCATTGCAACCGATCAATCATCGAAAATAATTGGTTAGTGTCATTTATGAAATTTGTTAATGCACAAAAAAATTAGGAAAAAACCATGTAGTTCTTTGGGGGGTTTTGGGGCAAATTTTCACATCTTTAAAGGATGACTAGTATGTTAGGAACATAAATTTCTTGGAGTCTTTAAGATAAATTCAATCATGACTTGGAACGAGCATGTAGTGCTTATGAAATGTAACAGACTAAACCAACCTTGTGAAATGAAAACAAGTGTTCCAGAATTGTTTGTGTTCGATTATGAGAAAACATGATCGATTGCTTGGTCGTTTAGTCACTGCGACCAATCTTCAATTATTTCAATTAATCGGACCACCACTAATGCACCGACTGTTTGAAATCATCCACCCTCTCTACAATGCCTTATGCTGCAATTAATTCAGCAGGCTGAAGGTTAAATATACCCGAGGGACATATACCAGCAGTTTGTGGGAAGATGGACTTCTGGCAGTTTGTGTATACAATCACCACAAAATAAAGATCTGCTGCTGCATTTCAGAACAATAGCAATACATATCTACTTATTCTCTGAAGATAATGTTAGCAGCGTTTAAAATTCCCACCTGCCTGACCGTCCGGAACAGTCTAATTTCATCTTAGACGGTCAAACTTCAAAAGTAGCCTGTCCGGTGGTCTGTTAGATATTTCTCTGATCATGATTGTGAGGCAGAAAATGCAACAGATTTCTAGTCTGTACTCCAGGCCATGTACCTTAGCTTTAACGTTACAATACATGCCGTAAAGTCTATTTTCATCTCGGACGGTCAAATACTAGTATTAAAAGTAGCCTGTCCGGTGGTCTGGTAGATATTTTTACCCCTAACAGTAAATATTTCATAATATCAGGCAGGTTCTCCTTTCATCAGTTTGAGGTGTTTACGGTATTATGTTGATTATGTTAAACTACTTACGACTGGACAGTTCATGTTACGATAACCAATCATAACACATGTAATTCAATTCACCTAAACTCTGAGCATTGCCTGTTAGTGCCATGTCGTTCATTGCAATGCGTACAAACAGTAACCTGACTTTGTTACTGATTTTGTTTGTTTGTTTATTGTTGAAAACCGGACAGGCAAGTTTGTATCCGGACTGGTAATTTTTTACATGCCGCACTGTGTGTAAACGTGTGGAAACAACCTCAGTTCAGAGGGATACTTGCCCATGAAAGGTAGGTGAATATCGAATTTCTTTGCAAATATCGAGTTAAGAGTAATTTTGCTTGTTGGGACCATGAAATTATATTCAGATATCCGAAATATCGAGACAACCGTTCTGAGTTAAAAGAGCTTGAATAATGATAAATTATAACGGATTTTGCCGGGACCGAGATGTTATATCGAGACAACCGAGATATCGAGTTAACAGAGTTTAACACAATGGTGCTCGACTGTATTTTGCTTTTTTATTGTTGTAAACCGGACAGGCAAGTTTGTAACCAGACTGGTAATTTTTTAAAGTTACCAATCCGGCTGTCTGGCTTGGAATTTTTAGAGTTGTTAGTTATAGCAACTACCAACTATAATGAGAATTAGGCATTGATGTAATAGAGATAGCATATTCACACAAGTGATCAAGTAATAGCTTTTGCTCCATATCTGACAATTTCCTATTGATTTTGACATGATTGCATTTTCTGTGTTAATAAAGCAATATCTCTCACCTCCGCTTATGTTTGTGATTGTAATTGCTGGAAAATACAGCCTCTTACCTTCTTTCTTCAGGATTTACAATCACAAACCTCACCTTGAAATCACTGTTCATCTGAAGTAAGTCATCAGAGCACACTGACACACTGTAATGTAAACTAAATTACGCTGAAATATACTTCAACAAACGAGTACATACTTTTGCATGACTACATCCTGATGTATAAACTGGTCGAGAAGAGAGAAGGAAGCAATGTCCAGCATATATATGCTGCCACCTTCTGTTCCCAAAAGAACCTGGTCGCCATCCAGAGACAGACAGCTAGTAGATACCTTTGTCTGTCTGCAATACACCAAATAACAAAGACGTAAGTTACAATATCCTAAACTAAGAATTGCACCAGAAATCTTCAGAAATCACTGCTTTAGCAGATTTCTGTCCTTGGTTAAAGGGCAAGTTTACACGCCAATATACCTATTTGTCTTGCACTTTCTACACATAAAAGGTATTTGCCTGGTAGTTTCATAGCCAAAACAGTACAGATATGACAAGTAAATAATTCAGTTTGGGCATAATATTGATTCATATTCAGTAATATACACATCATGGTGTCTGTCCCTTGCAATATGTCACTGGTGCCACACAGTTAATGAAAGACATCACTATGCCTCATTAAACCCATGTTACATTGGCATACTAATGCTGACAGTCAAATGGACATCCAAAGATGTAATGATCTGCAATGATTGCAAATTCTGATAGGTTGATTGTTGTTAAATGCCAAACCCAACAATATTCCAGCTATATGGCAGAGGTTGTAAAAACCATCAGTGCCAATGAAACTTTTGTATGGGCAGGAAATGAGTGAGTTTAGTTTTACGCCGCCCTCAGCAATATTCCAGCTATATGGAGGCAGCCTGTAAATAATCAAGTCTGGACAAGACAATCTAGAGATCAACAACATGAGCATCGATCTACACAATTGGGATACGATGAGATGTGTCAACCAAGTCAGCAAGCCTGACCAACGGATCCCATTAATCGCCTCTTAACGACAAGCATGGGTTACTGGAGATCAATTCTAACCCAGAATTTCATGGGTCAGATCCATCTAGTAATATCCATGCTTTTTAGCAATAATCTGGAAAAACTGGTTCCTGTGGGACAATATTAAGGGAAAGTAAGTGAGTGCGTAAATGTTGCTTTCAGCCGCATCAGCAATTTTGCAGTATTAAGGGAGGCATAAACATAATAACAAAAAGCATCAAAACTTAGGAATTAAAAACATATTTAATAAAAAAAATCAATTAGGGAGGAGAGACTTCTTGTCTTAATTAACTTCTCTTGATGACATTCTTCAAATCAATTGAGCAGCCTAAAGGTAAAAGACCTTCAATTTCACATAACTCACTTGCTTTCTGGAAGCACGTATTCTTTGACCTCATCCAGCACAGACTTTCCATTGTGTAGGTTGACTTCCCACAAATGAAGTGAATTGTCACTGCACACACTGACCACACGACCCTGAAATACCAGAAGAGTGAGTGAGTTTAGTTCTACGCCGCTTTTAGCAATATTCCAGCAATATCACCGCGCGGGTGTGTGTGTGTGTGTGTGTGTGTGTGTGTGTGTGTGTGTGTGTGTGTGTGTGTGTGTGTGTGTGTGGTCTGGGGGTCGGGTTGGGAAGGGGAGAGAGAGAGAGAGAGAGAAAACACCAGAAATGGGCTTCATACATTGTACCTATGTGGGGAATTGAACCCGGATCCTTGGCATGACGAGCGAAAGCTTTAACCACTAGGCTACCCCACCACCCCAAATACCAGAAGGAGATTCAGGACAGAAAAAACAAACAAACACATCATGCATCACGGTCCTAGAAATTAAGTCGGGATAACAACAAATGAACATTTACATTAGATTCAGAAACAATATAAACACAAACTTGAGTCCAAAACAGTAACAAAAAGGAGATCCTTCACCATGCGCACAGAAAGATCCACAGAGCATAAAAAACAAGCATTGTCACTAAGGGTACATAATCTCCCGCCGCAAATTATCAAACTAAACTTAAAAAGTAATGAAAGTGAAGGTCATAGTTTAAGATGAAGTTAAATGTCAACAAAAACATGACCAGTCAACATCTCTTGATATCTTGCTCTGTAGTTGTTCAAGCACACAAATATTTTCTCAAGACCCACTTTGACCTTGCCATGAATATCATGGTGTATGAAATATGCAAAAACAGTAATAAAGAAATTGCTTATCAAAAAAAATATAAGAGAAGTCTTGAAAGTCTATGAAGAAAATCCAGTGAACCATTCTTCAGATATCTTGCTGACAATCTTAACATGTAGGTTAACATGCTGAAATCTTCAAAGTGTCGGTGTGACCTTGAAAATTAAGTGAAGGTCACCAAAATATTGACTGGGCCCTGCGCCTTCCCTGGATAAAGCTTTGTATTGAATATGAAGAAAATCCAGTGAACGGTTCTTGAGATAGCTTCACATGCAGGTAAAACATGAAAGTACCCTTGTGACCCTGAAATGAAGGTCAAGGTCACCAAACCTGACTTGGACCTTTCTTATAGTGTGATGAACCCAGGTACCAAATATGAAAAGAATGTAGTGAACGGTTCTTAAGTTATTCCAATTCGTACGTCCGTACGGATGGACGGAGCCTAATACTATATTCCCCGCTTCGCGCTAAACTCGCGGTGGGGGATAATAAAAACCAATGTAATGAATCCACTTATGAGATTAAAATAGCCATAAATCGCCACTTGAACAGGGATGTAACACTACCGTCTGTTCCTCAAGCTTTTAGTGTTTATTCACACATTGCATTACATGAAACACTTTACATTTTGAAGTCTATTTATGATTGACAGATAGTCATTATTTATCTACAACAATGTGTAGATCACAATCATCATCAACATCATCATGAACATTGACTAAATTTTCTTCTTCTGAAAATAATTGTTTCTGTACAGACTGAGTTAAGCATTGTGAATGGGGCTTTGTACTATCAACATTCATGGTAAAGTGACGTAATGATCCCAGATGAGATGTCATGCAATTTGACGTCCAGACGAAACATTCGGACAAACACACCAACAGTGCAACAAAACCATGATTTTAGCACGTGCATCAATGATTCTGGATGGAAAGCATGTATTTCACTCTGCAGTATCCTTAATAAAGGTTTGTGTCAAAAACAGTTAAGTACTGACGCCACACAAACGATGCCTAGACTAACGACTGAGCAGAGGGAATATAAAGTTGCAAGGAGGTAGCTCTGCAACCGCTGTAGCTAGACAATGGGGCTGTCATCTTACCACCATTACATAGCTTGTCAATGTCATCAGCAAACCTGGGCTGCTGCTGATCGTTCCCGTACCCCACGGCCACGAGTGACAACTCATGCGCAAGATCGGTTCATCCGGGTCACTCATCTAAGGAACCGAATTCAAGCAGCAACAGTAACAGCAGCCTTACTTTTATTGGTCAATGGGAGCAGTGTCCAGCGACACGATTAGGTATCGTCTTCGGGCTGCTGGAATCACCTTCCAACAGTCATAAGCGGGGCCAATTTTGACGTTTACAGCCCTCAGCGATGCTTACAGCCCTCACACAGCAAGGGTGTCGATGGATTATTTGGCTCAGGCATTCTTTCAGACTCTAGTTAACTCTTTCAACACCAGTCAACCAGAGGCATTTACTACCATGACACCGGTTCCCAGAGACTCTAAGGTCATAGATGAAGCCTATGTTTATGAAGGAAATTATAAGCTTGTTAAAAGTTATTGCTACTACATCCCATACACCATTTAAAATATCTAATCCCACTGTTGATAAATATGAAGTTTATTTTTATAATATAATTCAAATAATACAACTACAACTTAAATAAATTTATTTTTTAATGAAAATGCAAGTTTACATTTATAACGTCCAGATAAACCACGAAAGAAGCAAAAACTATGGCGATTTTTTTCCATTTGTGACATGTCATAACATGCCCGTGCCTTTTTCTTTTATATTTTCATTTTTACGTCATCAGAAAATTATTATAAAAAGATTTCTTAAATAATATGTATGGTCGCTTATTTCCTGATATCAGTGGCTTTCTGCTCGGTAACATAACACAAGGGAAAATACCTCAGTTCGGCCTGCGGTGTTGAATGGGTTAAACATTGTGTCTGAACACTAAGTTCGAGGCTATGAAAGCTGAGATGTCACTTGAATTACATTACACGATCGCACAAAAAAGATGGAAATAGTGAGTTGTAATGTAGTGAGTTGACAACTGTTGAGTACTGTTGTTGATTTTATTCTTCCGTTTATTCAATTTGTTTAATTATTATCTCGAAACATCGTTACTTTGCTCTTTGACAACTTTGACGTGGACCCGTTGCCGAAGCATGTGTCCGAGAACTGTATTTTTCAATAACATTGGGAAAAATAGTTTATACTTCTAATTCTGTCGATAATATATGGTCATTTGAAATGAAATAAGTGTTTTCAGACATTGTGAAAATTGACAGATATATGAATCATACGTTAGTTAGGTTCCTAAAATTATATCATTTTGATGCGACTACTGCCTGGCCGGTTTACCAGCCTACGGTGTCTGGGGACTCGTGACGTCTTGGCCGGTTTTCTGGCCTACGGTGTTCAATGGGTTAAGAGCAGCCAGGTAGGTAGATAGTGTAGAACCTTTGAGTTTTCTGGAGGTTCATAGATGTTGAAGGTACTCTGCCACCATCTGCAGGGAGGCCGTAGTGGGGAATGAGACGCCCTTCTTCCTGCAATACGCTTCAAAATTCTTCCATTTGTCGTCGTAGAGTGACCTCGTAGAAGTACGATGCGCTGTAGAAATGGCAGTAGCCACCCGTTTAGAATAGCCCTTCACCGTTAACGACAGATGTAGATGCACCAAGCGTGCAGATGGAGCGTCAACGGGGACCAAAGTAGCTGGTCAGAGTGCGGATGTATCAGGAGATCGGGTCGAACGGGAAGTGGTACGGGATCTGGTTCGGCTAGGTCGTGAAGGTTTACGAACCAACTTCTGGCCGGCCAATAGGGTGCGACCAAAAGCAGAGTCATCCTCTGAGTTGCGCGCAGTTTCACTAATATGCGAGGAAGAAGGGCCACTGGCGGAAACGCGTAAGCGTTCAGGTCCTCCCACGGAATGGCTAGAGCATCGAGGTCCCAAGCCATAGGGTCCGGAATCGTTGACACAAACCGAGGCAGCTGATGGTTGAATCGGGTGGTGAAGAGATCTACTGTCGGGAGTCAACAGAAGACAAAGGGGCTGGAACACCTGAGGATGTAATCTCCATTCCGTTGGAGAGGGACGACTCGGCCGGGACAGAGAATCTGCGATGACACTCTTCACCCCCGGAATGTGGTTGGCCCGGACTAAGATGTTGAGCGAAGAACTGTTGTGTCCACTGCAGCAGTTGAGTAGACCCCGTGGACCCCATCCTGTTGATATGCCAAACCACAGCTGCGTTGTCCGATCGGATCATGAGGGAAGTTGCTCGTAGGACATCCTACCAGTGACTGATTGCAAGAATCACCGCCCTGAACTCCAGAACGTTGATGTGACAGGCGCGATCGACGAGAGACCACAGCCCTGCCACTTGTTGATTGAGAAGATGAGCTCCCCACCCGTGTTGAGACGCGTCCACATACAGGTGGTGAGACGGAACAAACGGCCCTAAACAAACTCAGTCGCAAATATTCAATTCTTCCATCCACCACAGGAGATGGTGATGGAGCTCCAGAGGTAGAGTGATCAAGGCAACGGGATCTCCCACTCTGATGTAAGGCGCTAGAAAGAACTGCAAGGGACGAAGTTGTAGTTGACCCCTGAGGGTCAACGCATGAGCCGACGCCAAGAGCATAAGAAAGTAAGAATATTTATGGATAACAACTTCTTTATTATATATGATGCGACGTTTCGGTATGGATTCTTATACCGTTGTCAAGCAAGAGTGAAGTACTACAGCACAGAACAGGCTTATATACATGAACAGGGATTAAGTAATAACAACATGTAGGACTGAATGAGGGGGATTAACAATAACAACAAGGCACGGTGGCAATAATGTAGTGACAATAGGAAGCCAATGGTGGTTGATGTAAAAAACAAAATATACATGCTGATGAGATTAATTAACAATGATGGCTGAGGTGCTCTAATCTGTTGTTTTTATGAGATCATTGTATGCAGAAGGGATGAGATATCCCTGGTCTCTGTTGATTGAGGGCTTGTGTCTCCGGATTTGAACTGCTTCTGCAAGTTTCCTTTTGGTGAAGTCCTGGTGGTTTTTGGATAATATGTCCACATTGTCCCAAATTATGTTGTGATTGGGGCAGTTGATGATGTGGTCTGATAATGCCGATTTTCTATCAGATTTAGTGGTAGATGATAAGTGTTCTTTGATTCGGATATTTATGGGCCGGGAGGTTTCGCCTACATAGGCCTCGCCACAGTCACAGTATAGGCGCCCGACT